GAGCTGGCTTTGATACGTGTCTGTGCCTGAGCACTGCTGCAATTGGCAAAGCCGAGGCTGATCCTGAGCTGGCTTTGATACGTGTCTGTGCCTGAGCACTGCTACAGTTTGCAAAGCCGAGGCTGATCCTGAGCTGGCTTTGACGCGTGTCTGTGCCTGAGCACTGCTGCAGTTGGCAAAGCCGAGGCTGATCCTGAGCTGGCTTTGATACGTGTCTGTGCCTGAGCACTGCTGCAATTGGCAAAGCCGAGGCTGATCCTGAGCTGGCTTTGATACGTGTCTGTGCCTGAGCACTGCTGCAATTGGCAAAGCCGAGGCTGATCCTGAGCTTGCTTTGATACGTGTCTGTGCCTGAGCACTGCTGCAGTTGGCAAAGCCAAGGCTGACCCTGAGCTGGCTTTGATACGTGTCCGTGCCTGAGCACTGCTGCAGTTGGTAAGGCCGAGGCTGATCCTGAGCTGGCCTTGATACGTGTCTGTGCCTGAGCACTGCTGCAGTTGGTAAAGCCGGAGCTGATCGTGAGCTTGCCCTGACAGCTAGCTCTAGTTGACGGCCCAGCTGGAGGGGAGGCTGGTCCAGATATCAGAGGGGCCAAATAAGAACACCTTGCCTGGCGGCGGCAGGCATAAAGAACCGTTATCAGTAAGCTTATGGCGCCAATAACGGTTTCAGCTGCGAAATGGACAGCCGCGTTGACGTCACTGACGTCGTTATTTCCAACTCTGTATCGGATAAATTGCGAAAAGTGGCATTCCTGAATACTGCAGCATGCTCTATTTAGAAACACTTCGGAACATGTGCCGATTCTCTCGACTTTGTAACCCGGAGGGAACTCAACGAATCTTTACTGAAGTATTGACTGAAGAACCACATCCTGCCAGCTATTTCAGAGCAACGTTGGATGCGAGGAGAAAGTAATGCATTTGATCTGGAAAGGCGTTGAAAAACAACGATCTTTCTAAAACGGGATAAATTTCAGGTGCTGTATCTCTCCACGTGCACGAACTTCAAAGTCGTCCGATTTAATAACAGCTTCAGAGAGACAAAGGGCAAGCCAGGCGGGTTATTAGTCCAAGAGCGTCCCACGCTCCCAGCGATATCGCCACCATAGTGGAATTGGACCATGCTACGTATTGAAAGGGGCCGGTGTGCCTGAATCGCACCGTTGGTTGCGTCTATGCGGTGATAACGCACGCGATCCGTGAGATTCAAGCCTGTAACCCTCGGGCTGAAATTTGCTCCACGGCCGGAGTGGATGCACATGAAACAAGCAGAAGTCGAGGAGTGTGTTCCATATTTATGTGGGGTTTTGACCTGAAACAGCCGTCTTGGAGACCTTTCGGTGCTGTTCATAATCCTGTCCTTCTTATGACCTAAGCCCCTCTAGTTTTTTAGCTAAACGCCCGCGAAAATAGGGAAAGGTATATCAGGGAGTGTTTCAAAGTCGCCTTGGAATTCATGACGTCATAACAACGCCATTAAATCCGGCTATTCCATCAGCCGTGCGGTGATCAAGGCCAAGAAGAATATGAATGTCGAGGCGTTCATATCTGGCGTTCGTGAGCGCGATTTCCAGGTAAGACGGCCGTCAATTGGCTGTCAGTCAATGTTGTACAAAGTAAGATGACGTAATCAGCCTTTGATGCACTGCAGAGCATATTTATTAAACAGAAAATCGTGCTGTCTAGAGCAGTCCTTTCATCTTAAAAAGTACACCAATGGTTTTCAGTGAGCTTGTTTCATCCTGTCTGATGCTTGCCTTAATATCTTCAAATGTGAAATGTGAAGAATTTCCCTAAATTTAACGGACTGATTCAAATGCGAAGCATTCCCTTAAATAAGCTTATTGCCTCGTTTGTTGCATATACCAGACGCGGGCATCTATTGTATTCCATTTTCACAACGATCCGAGGGCACGAAGAGTACAAAGGCCCCATAATGGCTACTTTTGCGTAGTTAGACCGAAGGCCACTGCCAGGCCAACGGAACATAAATGACGCATTTGTGCCGGCTAAAACATTCCTGCATCGAATCACGTCAATTACTTCTTTCTGTGACGATCAGTGGCGAAGTTGTGGATATGTGAATCATGCAACGATTGTAAAAATTATTGACCTTGCATTATCTATAACCTTGATTTCAAGGCCACCTAGAATGAAATCGTGATGGACGACGATTTTTATATGAGGACCACTAGCCTACTAAATTCGTTGAAATTGGACGGATCGGGCTAAAAAGTGCTCACTGTTGCCAGCTTGAGAACATGATGTCCCGTTGAAGCAGTACAAGTTCTCCGTCAGCGAATTTCAGTATGTGTTTGCCAACGCTTGCGAGGATTACTAGGCGAAGTCCTTTAAGTTACGAATGCAAAGAAGTAGCTCTTCCTTACCAAATAAAAGGAGTCGCCTTGCTGCGCACAGAACGATTTTCTAAAACCCTTTCAGCGGCATGGTCAATACACTCCCCCCCCTGGGAGTCGCGCCAGTCATCTGGCTCCTAGTTCCGCTGCTCTGCTGACCTCTCCCCCTCCTTCCAAACGCGTCTGGCTGCGGATGCGCCAGCGCGTTCCGTCCCGTGGGATTCGCAGTCCGCGTATTTTGGCGTACGATCTGCATTTACGGCAGCTCGGGGGTCGTTCCGAAGAACTAGGCGTAGTGCGGCGCAGGCTACCGCAGCAGGGGGCAATCATAGCGCACCGTTCCCTGCGGCCATTGGAGCACGTGACAGACACAGCCGGCGTCTTCCGCCCGGGGGCTTTTGTGGGCCCTGATTGCGGCCTTTAGGAATGCATGGGTTTGTGATGGAAAATAGCGGGAGAAAACAGCGTCAGTGAGGCTGCCTGGTGCATATTCATTTGGCCTGTGTGGAACGCATGCTGATGCTTTCATTATTTACACCTTTTTTCTCATTTGGGAGAGAATCGAGATGTTTTCAGTGTACCCTCTGCACCTCATTGTAATGCCGGCTGTATGCATTGGACGAGTTTTGTCCCACGTGTTTAGCGTTAATTAAGCGCAGTGTTTAGAGCTGTGTTTGAGGCTTGAACTCACGGTCCAGCGCGTTGCCATTTTTCTGCACAATTTAGGAATGCTGCCAGAGCGGAGGAACCACCAGTTTTTGTTGATTGCATGCCGCCTGCACACGCTGTTGTATAACCCCACAGCTGTGATGGTGACAGAGACCGCACATCGAGCGAGTTTGACTTAGCTTAGGTTTAACAAAATATTGAAGTTTGCCGTCCCTGCCCTGTCTTGCCCTGTCCTGCCCTGCCATGCCCTGGCCGCCTTCCCTGCCCTGGCCGGTCCTGCCCTGCCCTGCCCTGGCCGGTCCTGCCCTGCCCGGTCCTACCCTGCCCTGCCCTGCCCTACCCTGCCCTGCCCTACCCTGCCCTGCCCTGGCCGGTCCTGCCCTGCCCGGTCCTACCCTGCCCTGCCCTGCCCTACCCTGCCCGGTACTGCCCTGCCCTGCCCTGCCCTGCCCTGTCCTGCCCTGCCCTGCCCTGGCCGGCCGAGCCAGGCCACGCCGTCACGCCTTCCAGTAACGGATATATTTCCAGCCATTTATGGCAGGCTTATACAGTGTTCATCAACATGGAGCGCATCTCTGCAATATTGGTGCGGTGTGAATGGTTCGGCATCGACAAGCAAGGTGCTTAGTATGATGAATATGCATGCAACTTTACGGAGCTCCATGAACGTGAAAAGGCAAAATTTTCCAATTGAAAAAAGCTGAACAGCTTGGCCAAAAACTGAATCTAGATCTCCATGACCAGTGCCGCCGCAGTGATATTAGACAAACAGATTATGACGTCGGAGACAACGGACAATTTTGACAAAAAAGTGGGTCGATGTGTGTGGACGGGCACCGGCTGTCGTGCGCAGAAGATGGATGCGCCCGTTTTGGGGATTTAATGATTGGTGTGGAATCTCAGCAAACATGGCGGATGAAGACGTAAAATCAGCTGCTCGGTGTAGGCAAACGTACCACCTACAATCACACAGGGGATTTCAAACTGCCGGACCCATGGGTGAGCCCGTGATCGACCGGAAGGCAACCAAGGTTTGAACCACTCTTTGAAACCGACCTCCAATAAAAGGAGTTGCCGATTGGGCCGCGAAAGTTACGCGACTGGCTAGCCCTGTTTATTGTGAACGATATCTATCCCTAATATTTGCGTTTTTCGTAACACTGGTCATCATTGCCAAAATCTTAAATCGTCGGAAAAAGATCGATTTTGTCGGCTGCAGCCCTGACCAGCGTGGGGCCGGCCGCCTCTCAAGCAAGACTTTTTCTTGAGTTAGCACGCACATTTTGGACCAATGGGCTTCCCTTGGCTAAATCCTTATAAACGGTACACCTTCCGCCGCATCGGCCAAACACACTACATCAGTGGCCTAAGGCGTCCAACTTCCTTTTCGTTCAGCCTCCTGTCCAGCTCGTCCAGGTGTCCAGCTTCGTTTCTGGCATAATCTGGATGGTGGCAGCGGACATCTGTTCTGACCTGTCTCGTGCCACGCAGCGCGTGGCGTCTCATCGATCAATAATGTGAGGCACGAACGCCTCCGTCGCCACTTGTTGATAACCCGTCCCCTGACCAGTTGCTACTACTGCGATCCAACTCACACGGACGACTGCGATTCAGCTCCGTCGCACCCGCGGTCTAGAACATGCGCGACACTGAGGAGAGAGCAGTTGCCTCCTACGTGAACGAATCCATAAGGATCTTCCTGGAGGGTGCTTGTAGCGTAGAGATTAACACGTCTGCGTTAACCACTGCTCGTTTGGGAAACCAAAGGTACGGGGTTCGATTCCCCATGGTGTCCGCCCTTCCTACCAGGGCGAAAAACAGACGAAGTCATATAGCCTCGTCAGCTGAGTGCGTCGTAAAGCCCCAACAACAGCGAGATCCCTGGCGTGACGTCACCGTACTCCTCTCCGCGTGTTCCTTGATCACCACGACCGTGGTCGTGACGTCACCTCCCGTGCGTTTCCGCCGGCAGATAGTGGCGTATGCGCTGGTGTTCGTCGGCTCGCTGGTTGGCAACATTAGCGTGATCGTCATCGCCGCCACCAACATCCACATGCGCTCGGCCATCAACGCCTACCTGGTCAACCTGGCCGTGGCCGACATCTGCATCGTGCTCTTCTGCATGTGGGTCCACCTGGTGGTCAACATAACTCACCCCATCTTCGTGCTCGGCGCCTTCTGGTGCAAGTTCAACGGCTTCGCGCAGGGTGAGTTCTGAGGATCGCGGCTACTATTGACGTCATGTTTTTTGTCAAGGTGCTGTTTGCGAACATTGTTTGTGAGGGTATTGTATGCGAACATCGTTTGTGAAGGCATTGTTTGCGAACATTGTTTATGGCGCTAGTGTTTGCGAGCATTGTTTGCGAAGGCATTGTTTGCGAACATTGTTTACTGCGCAATGCTCGGTATTCTGTCAGAAACTTTCAAAAAACATCAGTTCACAATCTCTCGCACACCGGGTACCGTCATCCAGCTATGTGACCACTAAGTCCTGTGACCCCGTGACGTCATCGTTTGCTTGAAATGTTGGCTTGGGAGCTGCGCCACGAGGCATGCAGCAGCCGCCTTACTGGAAAGAGTCGAATCGATGCAATATCAATCAGTAGAATGAATGGAATCGGGGGTATGTGACGTCAGAGAGGTAAGTGGCCTTACGGTCAATGAAGGAGTGACGGGACCGATGCGTTCGTGGGGTAAGTTGTTAGCGCATTTGCTGGGAGCATTATGCATATAGATAAGACAGTATTAATAGCCTTATTCATTGGAGGATAAACATCTATCTCTCATTTAACAACAATTTGGCTGCGATTTATTGTAGTCCGGTATAGCTGTAGCTTGTACTTTGTGTAAAAACCGTAATCCACATCACACCTTTTCAGAACTACACCAGTCTACCACAAATACCAATTATCAACAAGCACTACTCTAGTGGTCGCAAAGTTTTCACAACAATAAATGCAGTCCGAAAGGTGTTTTCAAATTCCAGTCGTACGGTATAGTCGTATTCCAGTTCCAACCCGACAGCAACTACGGATTCATGGCTGCGAAGTTTACATGTCGCGTGTTGTTTTGTTCTTTTCTTTACTCCGGCTGAAGGGACCACATAGTGCAGCCACTTTGCAAGCAGAAGTCACTTTTCATGTGATGCTGCCGAAGCGGCTGATGAACAGCTGCTGCGGCTGCACCACGCGATCCTCCGCAACCAAAGTAGGAGCAGAAAAACAACATGCGATAACAAGTTGTATGCTACTACCAGTGTCATTTAGTTGTAGTGGAATAGTTTGAGCAGCCGCAGTCTTGATAATCTGAATGCAATTTTCGATCACGAGGTCATAAGTGCTGACGGGCGTACAGGGACGCGCCATCTCACAATCACCCCTTTCAAATGATTAATTAGAGCTCGGCGGCAGCACTGATGTAGCACCACACAGCCCGTCAACGGTACGCCAAACGGGCGGGGCGGCTACGGCACGCTCAGACGTAGTCCAGTCAGCTGCCCCGCGTCCGAACGACACGAAACCCGTCGTAACAGACGGCCGTGTCTGGTGTGAGGTGGTGCTAGGTCAGATCGCGTGGCTGCTAATGTACATTGCCGTATGCTGGCATACACCTTCTTCATTGGCCCGTGCGCGCGGTGAAAAGTTTTACCGCAGTGTTTTTTTTTTACCGCGGGCCGAACTTTTTAAAGGAATTCACGAGTAAACATGTATTCGGACAACACCACGACTGGAATTTGCAGACACGGTTTCAGACTAAGTTTGTGAAAGCAGTGAAAAAAGACCTTGGAGCTTTGCAATCACTAGAGTGGCGCTTGATGTTGAGTGGTATTTGTGATAAAATGGTGAAACTCCGGAAATTTTTAGTGCTCATAACACTGGTGGTCGAAGATGGCGACTCCACTACTACGGCTAGACCGCATAGGCTCTGCCATTCTCTTATCATGATCTTCTTCTCCATTGTCTTGACCCAAGCGTAATTGGAAGAGCGCTCTAAAAATTATCTCCATGCGCTATGACAAAACAGCATTTGGTATGACGCATACAACACTCGGGCGGAATTATTTTCCGGGTCATCGGACGCTGTAAAATTTCTTCCGGACACCGAAGGTCGAGGACAGACATCGTAACGATCGCCTCGATCCTGGAAAATCGTTTTGCCGGCCCTGTGTTGCAACATGTAACACGACACACCGGCTCTTACATTGACTGAGTCGGCTACCTTCGAACGACACGAGCGGGGCGGTAGCGGGTCGCGGCGTCCGTGTCGCCGGATCGAGCCGGGGGTCCCGGGCCGCCACTGGCAGATACACACGCCCGCGGTCGGCGCTGCGCCAGGCCCTGCTGCCGGGCCGTCTCTCCGACGGCGCCTCAGCCGACATGTGGCGGCGCCGGCGCGTCCGTGCGGACGGCGGGGGCGGCGCTGACACTGACACCACTGACACCGGCACGGGTCGCTCTTCGCATCCGCGAGGCGCCGCGGGAAATGCCGCGGCCGTGGAGCCGCGCCGGTCGATGGCGCTCGTCCCAGCTCTTCTCACAAATACTGACAGGAGATTGGCTTCGCGGCCTGAGCAACGCCGCCCTAGCTCATCCCGGCCGGCCCAAGCGGCTCCCGACATGCTTGTCTGCCTAAGGGGAAACACCCTCTGACAAGAGCACGATCTTCTTGTTCCGGGCAACGCCGGCTCGGCTCGTTCCGGTCGGCTCGAGCGGCTCCCGACATGCTTGCCTACCTAAGGGGAAACACCCTCTGACAGGGGCACGATCTTCTTGTCCCGGGCAGCGCCGGCTCGGCTCATTCCGGCCAGCTCGAGCGGCTCTTGACATGCTTGTCTGCCTGGGGGAACGCCTCCGACAGCTGCGCGATGCACGCGGGGTATCACTGGCTTGCGCTGTGATTGTTTAACAGCGTGCCGCCGTTGGCGTGCTGCCCGCCGCATTCGTCTTTGATGCCCAAAGCAGTGTTCGTGATCGCTGTCGGCGCACACTGTTGTTTGATTTAGTTTCCAATGTTTTGCGACGGATCTTTTCAACCTGAACGAGCGAGGTCAATGATTTATTATTTCAGTTGTCCACTGCACGGCGATGCACATCACTGATTTACTGGTCATTCGATCAAACACTGGAACAAACCAAACCAGTCTGCGGACATGGCTCCCAGCGCGCGTCCAGGCTTAAAAATGCAAGGAGGGGAAACACGCGAGCCATCAGTGGAGAATGGCTCAACAGGAGGAGATGAACAAGCAATCACTGGAAGCATTTATGGGTATGGTGGGCATCGATCGTCTGTTTGTGGGATATGGCCGTGTATCGCAACGACCGGCTCCACATCCGATGCTACACATCCTGCCCAATATCACTGCCCATCCGCTACCTCGCCATCGAAGGGCAGCTCGGGCAGGTTGGGCAGGTGGCAGTGACTTGTCAGCGGGCAGCTCGAGCAGGTGCCAGTGGCCTGTCAGCGGGCAGCTCGGGCAGTGCCAGTAACCTGTCAGCGGGCAGCTCGAGCAGGTGTCAGTAACCTGTCAGCGGGCAGCTCGGGCAGTGCCAGTGGCCTGTCAGCGGGCAGCTCGAGCAGGTGCCAGTGGCCTGTCAGCGGGCAGCTCGGGCAGTGCCAGTGGCCTGTCAGCGGGCAGCTCGGGCAGTGCCAGTGGCCTGTCAGCGGGCAGCTCGGGCAGTGCCAGTGGCCTGTCAGCGGGCAGCTCGAGCAGGTGCCAGTGGCCTGTCAGCGGGCAGCTCGGGCAGTGCCAGTGGCCTGTCAGCGGGCAAGCGCCAGGCGTTGCTATACCAGACGCCCAGCCCAATGCGCCCAGAGCAGCAAGGAGCGGGTACTGCCGCACGCGCACTTGTAACCCAGCATTGACCACGCCTTGCTGTGGGGTGGCGCTGACCTGAGTTAGATGCATGTGCGACGTTTCACTCCAGGCAGTATCGTGACCATTGTCTGAGTCGATTGACCAGATGGTAGCAATGGTCAGTGGGGAAGAAGTTAGCGGGTCGGTGGTCAGCGGTCGGTAGGTAGGTGGTCAGTTATCATTGGTCAGGGGCCATGGGACAGGTGGTGTTCAGACAGAACCGGTGTGGTGTTGTGGGGAAGAAGGGAGGGCGACCTCACCCCTTGCCAAATTCTTAGACGAACAGCTGTATGATAAGATGGGTTTGGTGTTTTTGCTGTTAATGCGAACGCCTCCGTTTGCGGCATCTTTTTAAAGACGTCTTAACGTCAGTGGGTCACTGGCTCGGCTCCCGGGCTCCTGCTTGGCGTCAGGGCTACGCGATATCCGCTGGCATTGACCGGGGCATATTGTCATCGCCTCTCCGGTGCCGAGCCTCCGTGATATTTCCCACTGAAGCACCGTGCAGCCGGTCTTCCTGGCAATCAGACCAAGCGTGTAACGTATAGCAGCATATGTGCCACAGGCTATCGGTCGTTAGCTGTACTCCAGCCACCGGCTACCGGTCATTAACTGTACTCCAGCCACCGGCTACCGGTCGTTGGCTGTACTCCAGCCACCGGCTACCGATCAATAACTGTACTCCAGCTACCGTCTACCGGTCATAAACTTTACTCCAGCCACTGTCTACCGGTCTTTAACGGTACTCCAGCCACCGTCTACCGGTCACTAACTGTTTTTCAGCCACCGACTACTGGTCATTAACTTTACTCCAGCCACCGTCTACCGTTCATTAACTGTATTCCACCTACCGTCTACCGGTCACTAATCCATGCGTGCTGCCGTCTATTGGCCATTTACTGTACTCCAGCCACCGTCAACCAATCATCAGACGTAATCCATGTGTGCCATCGTCTGCTGGTCATTAACTGCACTCCATCGCAGCGCAATAGAAGAGGAAGTGGGAAAAATACACCAGCCCGGATGTAACCCGGCCGTTCTTCAACAGACGGGTTCTGTGCCGATTTCATTCGATATTAGCGTCATTGGATCATTAGCCCGGACGAATCGCGGGCAAGACATTTATCTGGACAGAAGAAATAAGACGGGGATGGTATTGACACCTTCGCTTGAGTAGGCTTCTTACCAGGAGTGAAGCGAGTGCTGAGGTATATGGCAATCTGATCTGCCCGCCCGTACCGTCTCTGAGATGACCCATGCGATCGGCCGCATTTTGTGCAATTAGGTCGCCGTGTACACTAGCCTGATCTCGAGGTCTGAAAACGAGGCGGGAGCGAATCTGCCGTGCTGCCC